TAAAATACTGTAGACACACACAAAAGGGTCAAAATGGGTTTATTTACAAAAGGGGAAAAGAAAAGGAAACAACTGGAATATCTTACCGGCTGGGCTGACTTAGAGCTCTGGTAACAAACTTAACTTAAAGCTCCAAGTCACATGGTCCTGAGAACCATTTCCTGAGCGAGACAGCGAGACGCAGTGGCACCTTATTTATCCCCCAATGCCCCCAGAATGTCTGCTTAGTTCTGCCCTTGGGTCCTTGCAGTTCTCTCCTTGGTAGTGCTGGGAGTTGCAGTTTTCAATCACTGGAGTTGGGGGTAGAGTCCAGAAAGCCGGAGTAGGGGGTGGAGTCCACAAGACTGCAGAGTTCCTTTAGGACATCCTTCCCCTTAACAATAACCACACTGAACTGGATCGCCAACAACATGGATTGATGGTGTGGCACGATGGAGGTATGGCACCTCTCAGACCTCGCATTCAATTGGCTTCTAACTGGTGGGGTGCAAAACAATGGGACTTATGGAAACTTCCTGCTGCAACTCATGGAACTTCAATAATAGAAGGGCAAATTTTCTAGCACTTCAAGACCTATGTCCCATTATCATTTTGTATATAATGGTAACTTTTATCTTCAAGCATGTGTATATTTCAAATATATAATAGCCATAGGATCTTTAACATTTAATCACACTATTACTGCAGTTACATGTACTAATTGTCGGTCATACTCCTGTTTAAATTCTTTAGCACCTTTTAATGCTTCTTATCCATCTGTACTTGTGTTACGTATATGGCTACCTGTTAAACTTACCTGTACCTGGGAAGAATCTCCTGCTAGGGGGATGTTATTTAGAGTTGTTGGACATTTAATGCATATAACTAAAAGATTTATTGGATGGTTGATTGTTACAATTTTCGGACTGATTAAGCCACTACGGCTACAGCAGCTGTTGCAGGACAGGCATTACACGCTGCCATACAGACTCATGATGTTGTTGCAATTTGGTCACATCATTCCAAACTGTTATGACAACAAATAAAGCTAAATAAAAATTGGAACAGAGGTGAAGAACTGCAACAAGCCATCCAATGGCTTGGTGATCAATTTATTGAAACACAGCGACAGCTAGTGTCACACTGTGATTGGAATATTACTACTTATTGTTACTCTTGTTCAATTTGATAATGTCTCTGTGCAATGGTACAAAATTCAGTATTACCTTGATAGTATTCATGGTAATCTGTCTTTAGATGTATAAGCTTTACAAAAACAAGTTTTGCGACATTTTCCTTATGAGCTTCCTACATCTTCTCTTCATAGCCTTGTCAAGAGCATTGCTGAAGCTCTTCAAGGCATGGATCATAGGTCCATGTTTCACAGTTTAACTCATAACATTGGTTCTGGTGGACTGCTGTAATTTTATGCTGCTTTGTATTTTGGTTAAGATACTCCTGCCTCAGACTACATATTGGGTGCGACCTCAATGTCACGCATCTCTTTGCACAATTGATAAACAGAAAAGGGGGAGATGTTGGTGTGATGCCTGCTTGACCTTGTTTGGAGTCTGGCAACTGTACAACTGGTGCATGCGAAAACGCATGCGTCTGAGGGAAAATCCTTGGAAACCAGGACTGTGAGCCAAGAACATAGACTGCAGCCAAGCATTTCAGTAAAGATAATCAAAGAGCCAATTAGGGAAAGAAATCCAGGTGTGTGTGTGTGTGTGTGTGTGTGTGCACGCGCGCGTGCGTATGAGGGAGCTGCCCAGTACTGCTTTGAGGAGGAGGTCCTGGAAAAAAGTAAAATGTATACAGAGCTTAATTAAAAAGATATGTGTTTGCTGAAGCTTGGGAACAAGAGGTATAAAATGGGATGCTTAAAAAATAAAGGTTCACTGCATGCTGGACATAGCAGTCCCCCATGTCTGATTTCCTTCACCGCAGCATTCCAAGTCCCAGACTCCTTCCTGGTGTTGTAGGAGTCAAACTCTTGGCAGTGGCACAAGTGCAGTCCCTGGCCAGGAAGTTGACCCACATCCCACAGCAGACCTCTCCTGTCTTGTCCCACTGCTCCCCTTCAGCAGTCTATTTCCATAATCTGCATGTTCTGCTCTCCACTGTCTCTGGTGAATCCTCTCACCCGACAATCATCTCCCACAACTACCACACCTCTAGACTACTCCCCAGTTTTTGTATGCATAAATGAATAAATCTTTAAAAAAATTTAGTTCAGCGTTACCAAGCAGAAACCGTATTTACAAGATTTCTGGGGTCGTACTCTAGACTGTGCCTTAGTGTCATGGCAGACTATCCCTCACAGCATTAGCTAATTACTACACACAGCAAATAACTTCCCTTATTTATTTGCACCCAAACAACCCACAGCCCTCACCCCTTTTTGGCTCTTATATATTCTAAGTCAGGACTTCACTGTCTAACCACCCCAGGCCCAGGTATCAGAAAAGAATGGGGTGGAGGGGCCCCTATACACCAGCACATTCCACAATTATTCATACTAGCCAATTTTAAGTATACTTACTCTGCTTTGCCATGGGAAACATGATAATGACTCATGCCTTTGCTTTCCCCTTATTTCTTCTGTCTCCTTACTGACCCTGATGCTTACCTGTCTGTGACTCTGAGAAGCAATATGCCTTCTCTTACGAATTGTAACTCTCTCTACAATGGCTGTACCTGGCCTATAGGCTCACCACACCTGAATGATAATAAAACCTACACTTGAAAACAGCTGTTAGAACAAGTCTAAGGAGCATTTCCTTTGCAAGATTACAATGTTAACGGTAAAAGAACAGTAAAGTTCCTGTCTTAAACTGATCAGCTCCCCTGTACCTTCCATTAATTCTGCATCTACCCATTATTTTCAAGGAATGAAGCATCGGGTATTTGAAACACAGCTATGGGTGTCTTTCCTGAAATAGAATTATGAGAATAACAACAGTGAATCTTTGTTTGTCTCTTCCCTATGATTAGCATTTCACAAAGTTATTTTGGTTTCAATACCCCAGGGGATTGAAATATTTTCTTTCAACCTTCCCAGTGTTCTCAAAGAGTCGTTCATTTGTGGATTAAGCAGATCTGCAGCAGCCTTCTTTGGTTTATGAGTGTCCTTTTGACAGTGCAGTGTCTACTAAGATAGGTCTAATCTACCCTGCTCTGGAGATCTGGTTTACACCGATCTCTGGCATGTCATCAAGTCTCTTGCAATGTATAAGTCACTGAAAAATGTGAGAAATAAATCATTGATTTTTCAGTCTGAAAAGTGTACCAGTGTGGATGAATCTTTGCAATAGGCAGAAATCAAGACACTCTTTAGATACAAATGTAGCTCTGTGTGTTACAATGAGACTGTTTTATATCATAACTAGCTATCATTGAAAAATTGAGCTTTGGGTATAGAGTGGATATATACTAGACCAATATTGTACTGGTTTCACCAGAGGCTTTATTTACATTTCTTCCAGTTCAATGTAATCTTTATTCACTTTATTTTTTTTTTAAAGATTTATTTATTTATTCATACAGAGCAGACCAGAGATGCGGAAGGTGAGAGGATTCACCCGGGACAGAGTGGGGAGCAGAACAGGCAGATCGACGAAGTACACTGCTGAGGAGAGCAGCAGGCAGGTCAGGAGAGTTCTGCCACGCCATGTTGATCTCCTCCAGGGCAGGCGGGAATCGAACTCATGCAGAAGTGCCTTTAGCTTCTTAGTGCAGTGCTTTAACCCGCTGCGCCACCAGGGAGGGCCCTATTCACTTTATTTTTTAGAATAGTTTATATTTACAGAAAAAATGAGACAACAGACAATGGTACAGAGTTCCCATATATCCCTCTCCCAGTTTCCCCTGTGCTAGCATCATACAGTAGTATAGTACAATTATTACAGTTAATGAATACTGATACTTGGTAAATAAAGTCTATAGTTTATCCACATTTCCTTAGTTTTTACCTGATGTCCACATTACATTTGTTTGTTATATTCCCTTATTCCCTTAGATTGATCCTCATTTTTGATGACCCTGACAGTACAAAGGAATACTGCTCAAGAATTTCATAGGATGCCCTTTATGGTAATTTGTCTTATGTTTTTCTCAAGATTAGACTGAAGTTATGGGGTTGGGGGAAGAATAGTTTAAAATAATTTTCCTAATAGGAATTAGATACCTACATATTAAAAACACAAAAAGACCATTTCACATTAATGCCATGGACTCAACACAATTAGTAATGTCCTTATTCTGGATGAACAAATAAAAAATAAGAATGAGAAAGGATTAAAAAAAAATAACCTAAGAGGTAGATAATATTAAAGATGTAAACAGTAGTCATTCTAAGTCAACTTTCCCAATTAAATAGGTTGTTATGAATCAAAATTGTTGACATAAAGTCAGACAAAATGTAAATATAGTTAGTTCAAGTGTACATATCTCCAGAGATAAAGTTTGAGATTTATATGTCAAGTTTGTTTTCAAAGCATATGGTCATGTTTTGGTCCACCAAATAAGCAATACAAGTATGCAGGATTTTCCTAACTACGCATCAAAAATAACCATCTTAAAGCCTCAAAGAATTTATAGTAGACAATCACAATTATCTCCTGAGTTGTGGTTCTCAAACCTTAGAGTATATCAGAATCATCTGAAGGGCTGTTCAGACAGATTTTTGGACAATGTTCCCCATGGTTCTGATTCATTTAGTGGGTAGGGGTTTAGGTCTAAGGTCCATTTCTAGCCAGTCCCCAGGTGATGCTGAGGCTACTGGTTTGAGAACCACACTATGAAAACCAATGTTTTAGAGTCAACAAGGAAGCTACGTTTACTAAAGTGCTTGTGAGATTAAGGTGTTTTATCTATTAACTACCTTGTTTAGCTATAGAATCTTGGCAAGCAAGTATGATTCTCCCCTTTTCATTTAAATGAGCAATAACATGGGTTCAGAGATACTTAGGAGATATGGGATAAGGTGGCAAAACTACAATTCAGATCACCATCAATTCTTTTTTTTTTTTTTTAAAGCAGATCACCATCAATTCTAACGCCTATTTTAAAAGTATAACATACTGCATCTTGTTGATAAAGGAGTGAAAAGGGCATGCTCATTTGAAATGTGTACAGAGATCATTTCAGAATAATAGATTGTTAACTTAAGGACAGTGATACTGAAAATTAGGCAAAAGCTCTAGGTCATGGAGAAGATTCAATTATCTCTGAACTTCTAAAACATCATGGGAAAAGTGAATTTATTATGTCATTAATAAAACAAAGAACGTGCTTACTAGAGTGCTGAATATTCCTTAATTACTATTATTTACTATTCCTTACAGAAAAACACAAATTTAAATAAAAATTCTTAAAAGAATAATCTCATTTACATTTAAACGTAAAGCATTATATGTATTAACTGCCAGTGTATACTACATTACTAATCAGCCATTACTTACTCATATATTGGAGTAACACAGCATAATGGTCTTCAACAAAATGGTCTGACAATTTCTAAAACATGTATCTCCTTCCAGAAAGCAAATCAAAAGCAATATCATATAAATAAAATAAGCACTTTAGAATTCAAGTGGTACATTTACAGTAAATTAGTCACCAAAAATGAAGTTTCCAGTAATATAACACTCTGTCACTTTGTTATACTATATACAAAAAGGACACTGGGACACCAAATTAGATTACAGATTTTAAAAAGTTAGAGGTCTAAACTTCAGAATAACCCAGTTCAACTCTGCATCTCTATCAAGTTTTTTATATAAGAAAGACTCCCTTTTAAATATCTATATACATATTTCCACTTAATACTGTTAATCAAACCCATTGTTTTTAAGTAAATGTTAAATAAACTGCCAAAAATGCTCATTTCATGTCACAAAACATCAGTATTTTAAAGCACAACTTCTGGTTGATATATTGAATACATTGGTTCCTTAAACACTAACAAGCATATTTTTAAGACTATTTTCATCGATAGGTCAGGTAAAGCTTTATTATATGGTAAACACTTTTAATAGTGCAGAAATACAAGTTTCCAAAAAAAAAAAATACATTCAGAAGATCTGCTGTTCAAATAATATTTTTTCAAAACCAGGTGGAGGAGTATGATAAAATTCACTGAACTGGCAATCCAAAATTGCACTGTCATCAACTGGGGAAAGAAACAGAAAGATAGCAAATCAGAAAGAATAAGAAGAATAAATGTCCAGGTTACAAAACATGATCTTAGTTAGTAGAACAGCTAAAAAAATAAACAAACCTGTCAAACATGTATTACTTTATTAAAAAAATAAATAAAAATAAAAACATTTTGTTGTAGACAAAAATAGATTATCTTCTAAAGTTGCAAAATAATCAAGTCCCATGTGCTCTTTATTTAGCATTCCCTAGTGGTAGTATATTACATAATTATAGAACCATATCAAAGTCAGAAAACTGACATTGACAAACAGTGTAAACTGCAAACCATATTCAACTTCCACATGTTTTTACCAGCATTTACCCATGAGAAATGAACACATATTCATACAAAGACTTGCATATGAATGTTCATAGTAGCTTTATTTGTAATGGTCTAAAAATGGAAACAACCTAAATATCCATTACCAAGCACAGGGAAAAAACAAACTATGATTTACACAATGACCTATATTACTTTGTGATAAAAATGAATATGAATCATATAAGTAAATAAAGCCAGACCAAAAAGGGCACAAATTTAAGAAATCTATCTATCTATAAAATACTGTAAAAATGCAAGATATCAGCAGTGATAAAAAGCAGAGTAGTGGCTGACTGAGGCTGGAGTAGAAAGAGGGTAAGGAAAAGGATTATAAAAGAAGAGGAGAAAACTTTTAGGTGTGACGAATATGTTCATTATCTTAACTGTGGTAATGACATGAGTATTTACTTTATAACTATTTGACTACTATATATATGCTTAATGTACAGTACTAAATATTTTCTACTTCATAGCAGATGAAGAAAAAAATTAAGTACTAGATTTGAAATTCATGAAGTCACAAAGTGATTTTAACAAAGATGGCTTCAGTGAAGTGGGGATAAAAGTAGTCAAAGTTACAGAACAAATGAATGATACAATAAAGACAGTGGTGTAGGGGTGTAGGTTATTCTGTAAAAAAAAAAAGTCACATTGATAAGGGTAATAAACACAGATTTAGTGTGGAATACAATGACTCAGAATTTCATAAGCATTAAAAAGAAGTTGATGACAAGATATATAAATGAAAAAACTCACAAAGTGAAGTACTGAAGTTGGGGGTTGGGGAGGTTGAATTCTAGTCTACAGACTGATTTATCTGAACAGAAAGGTACCACTTCCTATTAAGACTGGATGGAAAGGCAGCAAGATTAAAATTGGTCAGAAAAGATTAAGGGTAAGGAAAGGAAGTTTGAGTTCACTATTGACAACCTGGTTTCTTTTTAAAATAGAAAGTAGGGGCCCTCCCTGGTGACGCAGTGGGTTAAAGCACAGCACTAAGAAGCTAAAGCCACTGCAGCACAAATTTGATCCCCACCCCGGGAGGTGACCACATGGCGTGGCAGACCTCTCCTGACCAGCCTGCTGCTCCCTCAGCAGTGTGCTTCATTGATCTGCCTGTTCTGCTCCCCACTCTGTCTCTGGTGAAGCCTTTCATCACCCCTGCACCCCTGACCTGTACCCCAGTTCTGTATGCATAAATAAATCTTTTTCTTATAAAAATAGAGGGCAGGATAGAGAATTTAAGAAGCCCAGTGAAAATCTGAAATGTTAAGAGATATAAAAGATTACCAAAAAAACCCCTAAGAGCTTAGAGTATGCTGGAAGTCACCACTTTGTAATGAGATGTTTCTTTAGTGTCATACATTATTTTTCTCTTCATAGATTTAGTCTAAGTCAGAAAAAATGAATGAGACTGATCTATTACTAAAAATGAAATAGAGAGTAAGGGAAACAAAAGGTAAGGGAATATGAGTCTCATTTATATCTTTGATAATATCAGGATATTAACTTATTTGGCTTAATGAGAGTGATTTATAAATTTATGAGACATAGTTTACTATTTGTAATTATAACTTTACAATACTAAGAATACTGAAATCAAATAATTTGTAATAACTTCATTTGCTACACTTATTTGTACAACTCAGTCATTCTATTGATACTACTTTATTTCTCATGCTAAACTATTTCAAATATTCAGATTATTAAGATTTGGTAATTAAAGAATTGCTTCCAGAATGGCAAGAACACAAATATAAATCAAGTTTAAGAACAGGTACAAAGACACAGAAAGTAAAGCGACTGAAAGTAATTTTTAGGATGAATGGAAAAATAAACTAAAAAGTAAAATATAGGCTTTGGTTTTATTGTATCATATTAATACAGAGATTTATCAAATGCCTATATTTGCTATTTTATACTTTTCTGACACCCAAATAACCACTAACCCTGCTAGGTTTCCAGCAAATTAGTACAAAAAAGTTAATAATTAATTTTTATTATGTTAAAAATCTAAAAACTTATATAATTTAAAAAGTATTTTAGTTTTACTAAAATGATAGGCAGAGAAATCATACAATTGTTGACTTAAAGTTAATAACATAAAATGTTTATGAATAAGGTAGTATAATAAATGGCATTTCTTTACAATTACATTTCCGGTCATCTAATTCTATGACTAACAGAAAGAATCTTGTAAATTCAGTGAAGTTTTTTGATAAAAAACTTTTGACAAAAAAAGAAATAAAGGTCATATCATATTTAAGCATACCCAATATACTTAGCATGCTTTTTAAAATATGGGGAATAGGGCCCTCCCTGGTGACACAGCAGATTAAAGCACAGCACTAAGAAGCTAAAGCCACTTCAGCATGAGTTCAATCCCAACCCCAGAGGTGATCCACATGCCGCGGCAGACCTCTCCTGACCCACCTGCTGCTCCCTTCAGCAGTGTACTTCATTGATCTATCTGTTCTGCTCCCCACTCTGTTTCTGGTGAGTCCTCTCACTGCCCCCACACTTTTGGCCTGTACTCCAGTTCTGTATGCCCAAATAAATAAATCTTTAAAAAATATATATGTGGAAAAAACCTTCCTTAGTCCCGCAAAATGGTATTGTGATATCCTATTAAGTATGTTAACAACTTGTCCAGTCTTTTGAAAGACAGCTATAAAATTAATAAAAAATGCCAAGAAAGGCCCTCCCTGGAGGCGCAGCAGGTTAAAGCACAGCACTAAGAAGCTAAAGCCACTTCTGCATGAGTTCGATTCCCGCCTGTCCCGGAGGTAACCACATGGCATGGCAGACCTCTCCTGACCTGCCCGCTGCTCCCCTCAGCAGTGTACTTCGTACATCTGCCTGTTCTGCTCCCCGCTCTGTCTCTGGTGAAGCCTCTCGCCCCTAAGCCTCTGGCCTGTACCCCAGTTCTGTATGCACAAATAAATAAATCTTTTAAAAAAAATGCCAAAAAAAGTTTGAACATATCTAATAATATTTAAAAATACTCAGCTTACCATAAACAACTGGATACACTGTCCCTCGTATACCTGATGCTGGACAATGCATGTTTTTTCCATTCAAATATACATTTAATTCTACATGGTCATATGTAATACCCTAAAAAGAAAATATTGAAAAGGGTAAAAATGCAAATGTTTCATAAAATCATGCTCAGAAAACTGATTTGAAAACACAAAAACCTAACCAAAGGCTCACAATAGCTTTCAGTAAAGGTTTTCAATTTTAGACATTTCATTTTAACTCACTTAATACTCAAAACAACATAGGCATTATAATCATCCATATTTTACAGATGAGGTAGTTAAAGCATAAGATATTGAGTAATTTACCAAAGCATACACAGTTAATTGGCAGAATGGAGATTTAAACATATGCAATATGGTTTCAAATTAATTAATTAGCATGCCATATTACTTCTCTTAAAAATTTATGTAATAGTTACTCTTATGACAAAAACAGAGCACAGTGGAGATCTTTCAACAGAGAAATTACCACAGACCAGGAAGAAACTACTTCAAAGATTTTTGACTGTAGATACATTCTATCAATCTAAAACATATTTGGAGGTAGAGAGTGATACTCTACATAATCTAGTTTTAACTCCTTCACTTTCTAGTTAAGAAAGCAAGATTCAAAATAAATGAAGGTGTTAATTGCTTGAAAAATTCTCCTCAAATCTTAGCAAAGCCAGAGTTAGATGAAATAATGGTTTATTAATAGTCCAGGAATGTTGAGAAAGATAAACAGGTGGCATTTGTTTCCTTTCAGTTCATGCAGTTAAGAGTAGGTTACAGTTAAGAGTAAGCTGCCATTCAGGCACTCTTCATCACCTGTTGGCAGCCTACCCTATTGCAAGTATGTTTTAAACCCAAGCTCCAGCATGGCAGTAAAATCCCACTAGCAAAGAAAGTGAGCAAAGTTGTGAGAACCAACATCCCATCAGCAGGAGTTTAGTTCAAGTATCTTTTAACAATTTGTTCTTTAAAACATTTTTTTCCCGACATGGAATCAACCCAAATGCCCAAAAGTGGGATTAAAAAGATGTGGTACTGGGCCCTCCCTGGTGGCGCAGCAGGTTAAAGCACCACACTAAGAAGCTAAAAGCCACTTCTGCATGAGTTTGATTCCCGCCTACCCCAGAGGTGACCACATGGCGTGGCAGACCTCTCCTGACCCGCCCACTGCTCTCCTCAGCAGTGTATTCAGTACTTCTGCCTGTTCCTCTCCCCACTGTCTCTGGTGAATCTTCTCAGCCTCCCCATACCTCTGGTCTGTATCCCAGTTCTATATGTATAAGTAAATCTTAAAAAAAAAGTAAATAAATCAGTACATGGTCCATAGTGTTCGCTGCTGTTATTAATAGTGTACTATATTGAATGTTTACAATCTATATAATTAAAATGTACAGGAGCTAATTATACTTTTCAAACTAAAAGGAACATAAGCAAAACCTGTCTCATACATATACCTTCCTAGTGCTATAATAGGTCCTGCTGATAACTGTATGATTATTATATGAATATGATTGGATGTTAAAAGATTATTTTTCTTGATTTCTTCTCAGAGAATGGTTATCATTGAAATTCTACACATGACAATGTTTTACCTATCTTATAATCCATTCTACTTTTCCTAAGTTGCTTTCAGCAATTTGGTGAAATTTGTTTCCATGTGTTTCAACTAAGAAGATAAATGTGGCCAAGTAGCTCTTGATTCAAAATATATTCATATAAGTCCTCCTTTTATGAGAATGGTCATAAAGTTCAAAGTCTAATTTAATAATGCTGGCAGATTAAAAATGACATTTTAAAATCTGTCACTTTGTGGTATTAGCCACTTCAAAGAATGAATTAGGAAGGCGAGAATAACGCATGGTAGAAGTTCAGTATACTAACAATGAGACATTTGTTACTGAGCATCCTTTTCTTATGTTTGAATTTTACCCGTTAATGTAAACAGGCAGACAGCATCAACTTAACTTCAAGATTCTTTTTGCAAGAAATGACAAAACAATTAAGTATGTTCTATATCATGGACAGCGCAAAGATCTGCAAATATAGAACCAACTATTCAGAGCAAAGGTCAAGGAAAAGTAGATTTTAAAAATGGTTTATGTCTTTTCTTCTTTTGTGACTACCTTTTTTTTTAGCAAAATTGTTTAGTTACTTTAAACAATTTACCTATTAAAAACTAACTGGTGTTCGGCCCTCCCTGGTGGCGCAGCGGGTTAAAAAGCACAGCACTGAGAATCTAAAGCCGCTTCCGCATGAGTTCGATTCCCGCCTGCCCCGGAGGAGACCACATGGCGTGGCAGACCTCTCCTGACCCGCCCGCTGCTCCCCACAGTAGTGTACTTCGTCGATCTGCCTGTTCTGTTCCCCACTCTATCTCTGGTGAAGCCTCTCACCGCCCCTGAGCCTCTTGCCTGTACCCCAGTTCTGTATGCACAAATAAATAAATCTTAAAAAAAAAAAAAAAAAAAAACTAACTGGTGTTCATATTTTTTAAATTGCAAAATGAGAAAGACCATATAATAATTAAATAATTAAAGATCTTAATTTCCACATCTTTCTTCATTCTCTCCAAAATACTGTACATTTCTTTAATTCAACCTGGATATACCTTGTCTGTTACCTTACTATTAGAAATTCTCTTTCATTATTTAGATTCCCTTCAACTTGTACCAGAGCCAGGAAGCCAAGGTTGTTTATAAAGGGACCTTTGCTAAGTTCTCAAGCCAATAGCTAGGGTCCTCCCTGTTGGTGCAAAGGGTTAAAACACAGCACTATGAAGCTATCTGCAGCCACTAAAGCACAAATTTGATGCCCCACCTGGGAGGTGACCCACATGGCGTGGCAGACCTCTCCTGTCTTGCCCACTATTTCCCTCTGCAGTGTATTTCAATCTGCCTGTTCTGGTTCCCACTCTGTCTCTGGTGAATCCTCTCACCCTCTGCACCTCTAGCCTGTACCCCAGTTCTTGTAAGCATAAATAAATCGTTTAAAAAAAATAAGTCAATAGCTACTAGCCTGAACTCAGTATATAAGGTTCCTAAGTATACTGTGAGAGATAGTACTTGGAAAAAAACAAAAAGAGATCTTGAATTACATTTTCAGTAGGACTGCTGTGATAAAGACCTGAATATATCTAGTTGAAAATAAAAACAGAAGTCTTAATAATCTGTAACTCTTTCTATCCCCTGCTTTCCAAAAAATCTTTTCTACATAAAGCTTAAAATTACATAGAATGAAGAACATTACTGGTAAAATGCTGAAATTCTTTAACAGAAGTTCAAAACAAATTAAACAATCTCCAGTTATAAAAGTAACCAATATTTTCTAATGTAAGGATCAGCAGAATCAAGATTTCTCTGATGATAGGGAAGTAGGACATGTTAATCAACTACCTATCTTAATTCTAAACAGAAGTAAGAGGTCACCTTAATTTCTTGGTCAACAGCAGCTCTATAAGGATACAGGCAGTGAGGCCTCCCTAGTGGTGCAGGGTTGAAGTTTCATCCCTTTCAAGTTATTAGCAGCCACTGTGGCATAAGTTTGATTCCTGATCAGGGAGATAACTCGCATGGCACCCACTACTCCCTGCAGTAGTGAATTTCAGTAGATCCATCTGTTTTGCTCCTCACTCTTGTCTTTGGTAAATCCTATCACCCTCCATACCTCTGGCTACACCCCAATTCATAAGAAAAGGCAATTAGGAAAAAAAAAAAGAAGAAGAAAAGGCAATTAGGTAAGGCAGTAGAATACACACCAAGTGTTCTCTTTGGAAAATGTACTGCCTCATTAGATTCAATCCCAGTGCTCTGGAATTCAAACCACCAACTCCCAGTAAAATCATATGTATTAAAAGTAGTTTAAGTTTAATAAACTTACAGTGGAAAAAAACTGCACTAGAAAACTTACCACCACATCTCCCTCCTGTGGAAGGCTGTTTGCTGGCAGTCTATTTTTCTCCTCATTGTTATGGTACAGGGCTCCATCATTTCTCATCACCAGACTGTGCACGTCTCGGCCAAGAGGAATCTGATTCAAGTTAACTTTCTGAGTTGCGACACCAATACCCCAGATTCCTAAAAAACACAATATTAAATGCCCTTAAAATATGAAGACTATAAATGAGTTATTTTCAAAGAATATAAATTTTTTGAAAGTAGCATTTTATCACTAAAGTATTTTTTGTTAATCTTTTAAAAAAAAACCCTTCTTTTAAAAATACTTTGCAAACTATACTATGCTGGTAGATATAGTATAGCCTAAAAGATAACAGAGTAGAACCTTGATTTAGTGACTTTATGTTGGGAAAGTTACTTAACTTCTCTTTCTTCACTTGGAACTATGTATTTCAAAAGTACTCACCTCACAGGGATATTAAAATATATAGTAAGATAATCCAAGTAAAGTACTTAGAATAGTATTTTTTTTTAAATAAGCAAGCACAGTATTATAGAAAGCATTTATAAAAGCAAAAAATGCTAGATATCATCATCATCATCATCACTATCACCATTACTCCCTAAATAAGACTTTGGAAAGGTACACACTTAAGTTAAATAGCCTGGAGTTTTACCTCAAGCACTACCTCTAAAAAAGTGGGAAATTACTGTCATTAGTTTTTGCCTGTACAATGTGACAATAATAATGCCTTCATCCATATAATGGAAAGGAGAAAATTAATAGTAAAATGTGCAATGATCTTCTTATCCTATACTGTTAAGTCAGTGAATCTAAAACTTTTTAGTCTAAACTGACTTTTAAAGCAACCAGCTCTCTTTTTCATCATCCAAACAATACCTAGCACAAACTGTTTCCTTCTCAGCTACAACAAAAAGGAGAAATGTTATAAACGGAAGGTTTGAAAACATTGTTGTCAATCAACTAATTTTTCTGGATTGGGTGAGACTATCAAATAATTACTTGTTTGGGTTTCACTATCTTAGCCTCTGAAATAATTTGACTTTACGTTTTATCCTCTAAAGTGAGACATTTATTTAAGAGTGACAGAAGGTGATAATACTAATTTCATGGGACAATAGAGATAGGGTTAAAGAATTTCCTTACTCCGAAGCTGTTTGAAGGTTTCTCAAACTGCTAAAAATGGAGCTTCCATATGACCCAGCAATCTCACACCTAGGTATCTACCCAAAAGACACAAAAACACTGATTCAAAAATATTCAGAAATGCTGTACAATTCAAGAAACTTTTAAGACAGGTATTTAAAATTTGCTGACTGCATCGGAAGACAATGAATCAGGTCATACTTCTAAGAGTTAAAACTCAGAATTATAAGGTTAATTTTATCTTAAAATAAAACTACATTTTATCTGACTGATTAAATAAAATGGTACATTTAGCACCTACTATTAATTATATTAATAATAATTCTAGTGCCTTACATACTTATGGGATTATGGTCTGGTTTTAAAACAATCTTCATACATATATATTTCATGTGACGGAGAAAGGGCAGCTCCTGAAACCTCATTTTATAGTTGAGAAATAAATTTTAACTATATTACCTAATTTAACCAGGTGCATACAAGAGGGTGGAAGAAAAAAGTAGGAATAGGTAAGTCAAGAGTTTGATGCTTTCTTCTACCTGTATTAATCTTTTTCATATATTGAAAATTCTTTTTAATTTTAGAACTAGAACTTTCGATAGCAAAGTACCGTAATACTAACCTGTAGACTGGATTTTGAATTCAAAGTAGCTTTTGTTTTGATGTAAAGGTGCACTTGCTAAACAACCTCCTGTTCCACATATTCTTCTTCCGTTTTTTACAATGACAACATCAGTACCTAAACACAAAATACAGACACTATTATGTAAAGGTTTTGGATTTCTTATCCAAAAACCAAGGTGAATTTCTGCTTCACTTGTAACTTTTAGTTCACAAAAATAGGGATGCCATATATACTCTGAAATATAGAACATATATACTTAGTACTCATATGTAGTTAGAAACCCTGTTTAATTAAGTAGTCCCAAATACAGTATAACTAAATTTTACTAAATATTCAAAACACTTTTAAGGTAGAAATATATTACTTTAACATCTAGCCAATAAATTTGATGATTTCATGAAGCTCTGAAGTAAAAGGCACTTAAAAGTTTGGTAAATTGATGGCTTCATTTATTAAAAAAAAAATGTAGGGGAACCAAATAAGGGAGCAGAGAAAAATATACTTATAATAAAATTTTAAAATTTAACGGCAACTGTAAATAAAAGACATTCTGCAGGGGTACAGGAAGGATCAAACCAGGGGTGGAAATGGCACAAGGGTTTATGGTGATGGTGCAGAAGGACTAGGTGCTGGGAATGTTATGGGGACTATACCTAAGAGGAGAAAACATACATTGCACAAAAAAGGAAGACTGATGTAAAATATATATAAAATAAATTACTAATGTTTCAATTATATGATATATTTAAAGTTATTTTCAAAAATAAAGTTCTTTTTATAAAAAAAAGTTTGGTAAATTGATACAATTTTCAATTTAATCCAAAAAAATGAAGAATCTATTAAAACTGATAATATTGGCAAAACACTCCACGACCTCTATCTCAGAAACATTTTTGAGGACTCATCCCCAGAAGTAAGAAAAATTTAGGAAAAGATAAACATCTGGGTCTACATCAAACTAAAAAGCTTCTTTCTGTACAGGAAGAGACAAACCAAAATGAAGAGCATCAAACAGACTAGGAAAAAACATCTGAACTCCATACAAGTGATAAGAGACTGATATCAAGGATCTATAAATTGCTTACACAACTAAACAAAAACAAAGCAAATAACTCAGTAAAACACTGGGCAAAGAAGCTAAAAAGCCACCTCTTAAAAGAGGAAATTTCATATGCCAAGAGGCATATGAATAAATGTTCAACATCACTTATAATTAGGGAAATACAAATCCAAGCCACAATGAGAATCACCTCACACCAGTGAGAATAATCCATATTTTAAAAATTGGCAACAACAAATGTTGGCAAGGATATAAAAAAAGGGGGCCCTCTCTTACAATGCTGGTGGACCCTCAAATTTGTGGAGGACCCTCAAATTATTAAAAATGGATCTATCATATGACCCAGTGATTCCATTCATAGGAATGTACCCAAAGGACACAAAAACATTGATTCAAAAGGACACCTGCACCATGTTTATTGCTGCTCTATTTACAACAGAAAATACATGGAAACAACCCAAATATCCAAAAGTAGATGACTGGATTAAAAAGATGTGGTACATACACACAGTGGAATATTACTCAGCAATCAAAAAAGATAAACTCATGTCTTTTGGATGGAGCTGGAAGGGATCATGCTTAGTGAAATAAGCCAGAAAGAAAAAGAAAAATATGGGATGGTTTCACTCATAGCAGGAACATAAGGGATGGTGGGGGGGGGAGCAAATGTAATAAAGAAAAAACAAAAAACAATAAACAACTATATAGCAGCGACATTTTACTGGGGTGGAGAGGGGAGTAGTATCAAAAATGGTGTGGGAAAGGAGCGTGTGACCAAGGTGATGGCACATGGGTGAATTGGTGGTAGGAATTCTGCAGGGATTACAACCAAGATGGAAAATGAACAAAATGAAGAATGATGTAAAAATAAAAAGAGAGAGACACAAAGTACTATGTTACTGAACTAGTTAAGTAAGACTTAAAAGAATATAAACTATAAAAAGGAACATATATCTATCTTCTTGAAGTAACTGCTTTATTTCTTGACAGAAAAATACTAATCTTAGGGTCTTAAAGCTGTTTATAAGACAGCTACTGTCAATCACATTGCAAATATATAAACAAGGCCTTAACATTTTAAAATGTACTTTATATTCATGGAAAACTTGAGCACAAATAACATTTGATAGGTTTAAGTGAAGAAAACTCTGTCTCTTGATGTTATTCCAAATACAAGTCTTTTCCAAGTCTCAGTTTAGGAAAGAATGTATATATATGAGGCCATGAAGAGACTTAACATAATTCTAATATGTAAAAAACAAACAAACAAACAAAAAAAGAAACGATAATATTGAGGAATGTGACAACCTCCTCCACCCACCAAGAGATCTGTGACAGGTATTGCTACTTCCCTGGTAGCAAGTGTATATTCAATATCTGACTATTGGAATTGTATGATGCTTCTCTAGAATAAAGTAAATAAAGCTAGAGCATAGCAACAATAGGTTTTAACAGGGAGGCAGGTGTTCTTTAATTGATTTACTGAAGAATTTATATTAAACAGAATTCTTTTATGGACAAATATATAAGAGAACTGCAAATGTTCAGATTTTAACACAATCCTAAACTGATGGATTTTAAAGACACACTTAAATAAGGTGGCGCAGCGGGTTGGAGCGCTGCACTGCAAAGTTAAGCCAAGCTGTGGCTACTTCAGTGCAAGTTCGATCCCCATCCCAGAAGTGATCCATATGGCACAGCAGACCACTCCTGTCTTGCCCACTGCTACTCTCAGCAGTGTACTCCATCAATCTGCCTATTCAGCTCCCAACTCTGTCTCTAGTGAATCCTCTCCCCACCACTGCACCTCTGGCCTGTACCCCATTTCTGTATGCAAAAATAAATCAAATCTTCCAAAAAAAAAAAAAAAGGTAAAAATAGGTCATTATTAGCTGATTACTAAAAATTCCTTAGTATCCTTTTTTTTTGTTGTAATCACATATTAAACAAAGGATTAAAAAGAAAGGATTAAACCCCCAATTCTTGGAAAGTGTCCTTATAAATAATTTATATCTGATGACTCTCTATATATTGCAGGCAGGCTGGAGCTCATCCAGAGCCCAGCAACAACTTGGGACCACAGAGTGTTTAACATCTAGCAGCCACTCAACAAATAACTGACAGAAAAATGATAAAGTGCTTTCTTGATTCACTTCGTAAGAGACATGTGTTATCTTTCCCAACAGACCATCCTTTGCTCAAAACAGCCCCAAAGACCCAATATCTGACTGCAAGCCTATAGCTCTGACCTAGGCTAAGTCAATCAGCATGCTCCACATTTCCTGGCCACTGTGATTGAGTGAAAAATGCTTATTTGACCTACATCACCATAATCCGAGAGAGTATCAGGGCTTTTGCATAAATCGATGAAACACTAATTTTTTCTCCTCACAGAAGAACTGAACTGGAGTGTAAGCCAGAGGTGGTGGGGGAGGGGGGTGGTTATGAGAGGAATCACCAGAGATACAGTGGGGAACAGAACAGGTGAATCTACTGAAATATATTGCTGAGGAGAGCAGTAAGTGAGACAGGCTATGTCTATTGTGCCATGTGAGTTAGCTTCCTGGCAGAATCAAATTTAGGCTTTACTGGTGATAGCGCTGAACATTTTCTTGATGGAACTGAATGAGGAAGCCTGCAATCCAGGGAGCTACTGCACATTATCATCAAAGTTAGCCTTCAGAAATGAGCAGAAGGCAAAGGAAATAAAGAAAAGCAGCCCAGTTCTTTCAATATAAAGCAGAAATGCAAGAAACTCATGGCCTCCAAATGAAGTAAACTACAAAGGCATATGATACAAGATGAAAATAATCTATTTACTTTTTAAGCTAGGAAGATGCTTGTTTAAGGAACATAAGGATATTATCAATAGGATTCAGAGAAAGAATGTAATTAGAGCATATTACCTAAATAAAAATGAGACAATATAAAAACTTTCTGAATTCATCCTTTAAAATCAGTCTTTGTGAATGACTTTTTTATAAACTAATTACCATGGTTACAGAGTACAATGTGAACTGCAATTGTAACTATATATATTTACCAAAGTCCACAGAAATTGAGAATGCAGCTAAGGAGTGGTAAGAACAGGATGTGAGAAAGAAGTTTGGGTGTGCCTAAAAAACTGAAGAAACAGTAAATAAAGGATTAAACATGGTTTTTAAAGTTAGAAGTTGGAAGAATAAAAAAAGTTGTAACAATTAAATATTGGGAAGAGGAAAAGAAAATCCTTCTTGGCAGCATGAAATGTTTCCTAAAGTGATTGCTGCCTTTGTATTTTTTTTTTCAGTTACACATAACAATTAATTTTATTTTTTAAACACTTCTGAATTGCTGTTCTTACTACTTGTAACTGAAAGTATCCTAAATGAATACATTCCAAAGAATTAAGCAAATAAACAGTACTTCTATTAACAAGTTTCTATAACATCACATCAGCTACTGTTCTACCACGATACGATGCTGAGTTAATGGAAGCATCAAAAGACCCTCAATACAATACAGTCTACTCTTGTTTACCCACAAAACTATTCTGAACATGGTATTATTCTCTTAATTCAATATTATTTTCTGTCTCCAAGACCCTCTGCTAAGTACTCTGAGATGAAAGTAGAAAGATGAATACCCTCAGAATCATTAGGGTATTTTTTTTAAAGATTTATTTATTTATTCATACAGAACTGGGGTACAGGCCAGAGTTGCGGAGGGTGAGAGGATTCACCAGAGACAAAGTGGAGAGAGGAGCAAGCAGATCGACGAAGTACACTGCTGAGGGGAGCGGCGAAGTACACTGCTGAGGGGAGCAGCGGGCGGGTCAGGAGAGGTCTGCCACACCATGTGGCATCTCCTCCGGGGCAGGCGGGAATCGAACTCATGAGGAAGTGGCTTAATCCTCTTAGTGCAGTGCTTTAACCGGCTGCGCCACCAGGGAGGGCCCACATTAGGGTATTATTTTAAGATGATTCTATTTCTTCCTTTTTAAGACATCCTATTTAGATCCATGTGATTTGTATGGCTTTAGTGATCATCCACACTATCTAGAAAGTTAAGGCAAATTTTAATACAGCCAGGACACATACAAACACTAGACAAAAAGTATGCTTTATAAAACATTAGACATTTCTAAATTAACTTCCTTTCAAAGGAACTACCTTATACCACACTTAATTACTAAGTGAACTAACAATCAATGCAGAAGATATGGCAAAATTGAAGATACTATTTTTTTTTAAAGATTTATTTATTTATGCATACAAGAACTGGGATACAGGCTAAAGATGTCGGGGGTGAGAGGATTCACCAGAGACAGAATAGGGAGCATAACAGGCAGATGTACTGAAATACAGTGCTGAGGGGAGCAGCGGGTGAGACAGAAGAGGTCTGCTGTGCCTTGTGGGTCACCTCCCTGGCCAGCAATCAAACTTGTCCTGCAGTGGATGCTGATAGCTACATAGTGCTGCGCTTCAACTCCTTGCACCACTAGTATGGAGAAACAATAGTCACAGCCAGGTTCACTTGTGGAATATGGCGAGGTCAGGATGACAGGAGGTCTGACACACTTGTGCAAACAGGACCTGAAAACAGGCCTTGAGGTTACTGTGACCATCAGCCAGACCTCCTGGGATGAACCTTGAAGAAACTCTTTTGGGTGTCCCTAGATCCAGCGTTTGGACACAAGGAATGTCCTTCCTGGTGTGGGCAGGGGTGGTCAATGTTCCTCGAAAAACATAACAATGTATAACTTTGATCCTTACCTTTACAATGTATGCCGTAATTTGATAATGTATAACTTTATTAAGTATGAGCACTGCCTGAATGATTTAGTGCCACATACAGTTTTCACAGATTAGCAAAAGGTCAAAATAAGTTCTATAGTGAAATGTAAAATTTATGACATGTTTAGAATGCTTTGTGTATTTTCTAATGCTGAGAAGATAAAAATAAAAACCCTGGAAAAATAAAAGACTGACACTGTAGCCTTGAGCTCAGTCCCTTACTCAAGTCTCTGTGGCTCAGTTCTTTCTGCTTCCCAGATCCATGATCCTGAGATAGACACACCAGAGAGGCCTCCAAATTGAAGATATTTACAAAAACTATGACACAAATAAATCCCAAAAGAGGAATTCCAAAATAGTTTTAGGTAATGCAGTGACAACCTTGGAAGACACAACATTTATTGAATATAAGCTATAGATTATTTTCTCTAAGAAAAAAACAAAAACAAAACCACCACATTCTTTAGGTTATCTGAGATAAAAACCTTTGACATATCCTGGGCCTCCCTGGTGGTGCAGGGATTAAAGACACAGCACTATCAAGCTATTGCCAGCCACTGCAGCATGCATTCAATTCCAGTCCACAAGGGAGCTAACCTACCTGGTGCAGCAGATCTCTCCTGTCCCACTACTGCCCTCAGCAGTGTATTTAAGTAGATCTGCCTGTTCTGCTCCCGACTCTGTCTCGTGAATCCTCTCCACACCCCCTCCTCTCTACCTCTGGCCTATACCCCAGTTCTTGTGTGCATAAATAAATCTTAAAAAAAGAAATACATGCATACTTGCTCAGTGTGCTACTAATGTTTTCAATTTAAAGTTAATGCTTGAAATGTACTCCTAACTCAAAGACCCTTTCCTCTCTTTAATATTATTGTTTCTAAGATCAAATGTATTATGTGATTAAAAGAATATGAATCTGGGCCCTCCCTGGTGGTTCACTGGGTTAAAGCACAGCACTAAGAAACTAAAGCCACTTCAGCATGAGTTTGATCCCCGCCAGCCCCAGAGGTGACCCACATGGGGCAGCAGACCTCTCCTGACCTGCCCGCTGCTCCCCTCAGCAGTGTACTTCATCAGTGGGCCTGTTCTGCTCCCCACTCCGTCTCTGGAAAATCCTCTCATAGCCCCTGCACCTCTGGCCTGTACCCCAGTTCTGTATGCATACACAAATAAATCTTTTTTTAAAAAAAGAATTTTAATTTACTGGAAGACAAGCTGAGAAAAAACTTGCCTGCATGTAGAAAATCGGAGGATGATATCACTCTACTGAAAGTTGTTGGGCACCTTTGGAAAGGAACTTAGTGGAATGAGTACAATGAGTACAAATGACTAACTACTCGTGGAGAAGAGGCTAGAGAAAAAGAATATGCTTAAGAGTGCAATACTTCAGGAATTTCACAATGGAGTTGAAAAGCTAAAATTGACTATAAGCTTCAGGAACTGTATATTGTTTTCCAATACTGTGTCCCCAGCATCTACAAAAATGCTCACCACTAGCTATCAGCTGAGAATGTATAAATGAAACAAAAATATTTCCCGAGGAAATTACAGGATTTGAACATCGAAGGTCTACAAATGATAGATAAGAAATAACTTAAAAACTTACTGTGTCCCCATACATATATTTATATATTAAGATTCTGAGTTATACTTGGGTGATCTAAGAGTTAAGAGTAAGAACCCATGTACACAGTGTGTATAAACGATCACATCTGTGGCTTAGCACATGCCATAGCAATCTAGAAACATAATGGGCAGAGTATTTCTGGAGTTATAAAAGAATCTGGGCAGGAGAGGGGTTTGCTATAAGCATTCATAATTGCCTTTGTTATTTGAAATCACTTTGAAATTTGAATTGAATTGCTTAAATTACAAAAACTAATTTAAGTGAAATAATCACAGTGGGAATTTTTTCCTAGAACCATACTCCAAAAGTGTGGGAAAAGTTTAAGAACAAAAATAATACGGTGGTGAAAGAGGAGAAAGGAAGAAAATTAGATGAGAAGTTACAGCCCCATTTGAAAGTCTAAGGAAAAAAGTAAAGATGCAAAAGAGCCAAGTGCTGGTTTATTTTGTAGTCGCCTGACCCGTAGTAGCCTAGGTAATGCCGTGACCAACCACCTTGATAGAGCCTGACCTGTTGGGAAAGAGACCAGTCAGTTGGAATTACAGCACCTCTCACAGTGACTCAGGCTGGGCCCAGCAAAGGGAGGTTTTAGTTGAAATGGCTTGTTTGAACATGAGGTGAGACTTCAGGCTTTAGCAATCTGCCTTGTCCTGATTTCCAATAAAACAGGTTTCATCCTATAAACGACGCGGCTCAAGACAGCACTGTCAGGGCAGACCCAAGATCGAACTGAAAGCTCTGAGAAAATGTGCAGGTTTTGATTGGAGCGACAGTAAGGCACTGTAGGAGGAGCACGAGGGCACTCCCCGCTCCCCTCGCCTGAGGACCAAGTCCCAGGAGGCGGCAACTCGGAGGAGGTTCCAGTGAAAATGCGTAGGTCCACACACCCATCTCCGGGCAGACCCGGCCGCGTAGCCTTGAACCTAGAACCGGGCCCGGGAGCAGTCGGCGGCGTCGGGAAGAGATCCGCAAGGCGAAATGGGGCAGAGAGCTACGTCGTGGGCCAGGAGCTGGGGGCGGAGGCTGGCGGGGCAGAGCTGCGTGTGGTCAGTTCGAGCCCGCACACTCCCGACCCTCCGCGCCCGACCCCTGGAGGGCCGTTGGGTCTGGGGAAGGGAGGGCCTTACCCATGTGCTGCGTGTCCAGCTGCACGGCCGGCATCTCCTTCAGAGGGATGTGGCCAGTCCCGCCATCTCTGCAGCACCGCAGGCAGCAGAACACCGAGGCGGCCATCACACACCGACCATCAACTCCGCCGCTGCCTCCCTAGACCGCAGCGACAACGCCCCCCACCCCGCCGCTCCGCCTCCCGCCCCCGCCCCAGGGCGGGCGGTGTCGGTGGAGCGCGGACGTCGCTACAGCGACGCTTCAGGCCGGGAGGGCGCAGCGCAGGCTGAAAGCATATCCGGCGTAGGCCGAAGACTTGGACGCTCGGCGGGGCGGGGCGGTGTCGGGGGCGGAGCCTATGGGCGTGGCGTAGAAGTGGGGCGTGACTGGTGGGAGGAGTGGTTGGCGCCTGCGCGCTGCATCAAGTTGCTTAGGGTGGCTTGGAGTAGGCATCGCAGGGCTGAGCTGTGCGCAAGATTGTCTAGGCCTTCGCCACATTAAGGAATGCTCGGATACTTCGCCCCACCCCCACCTTTCAACTGCCACACTCATCCTCTGACTTAGACATTATCTTTAGGGATGAACTGAAAATCTGAGGTGTGAAAGCTGATAAGACATACCCAGAAATTTTCACCCCGTGAGTCTAGTTCTGCTAGAACTTTGTCTCTCCATGAAGAGAGACATTTGGTCTCTCTACAATGCCTGATTTAGGAAGAATTACTTAAAATCCTAAATAGGGGCACAGGCTCCAGAAGTTATTATACCCATAGTGATTGCACCGTGGGTGCATGACCTGGGCTCTACAGCATTTTAGTTGCGAGGTGCACCTTCTGCGGCCCCTTGATGCCTGCTGGTTGCTCGGGAAGTGCAGGATGCACACCTGGAAGGGACTTCTGGGGCTAGAACAGAAGGCTGTTCCTGACTGGTGTCTTCTACCTCACCTCAATGGACTGAGGCTTCCCAGAATTGTGCTAGGAACCCAGTAGGCGACTGGATGGCTTCGGTACAGGAGAGGAAACCTCCGTTCATTTGCCTGTGGCACATAGGAGATCTCCCCTCCTCCTTGCTGTCACCTGTCATGTCCTTGCATGCTTAGATCATCAGTTCCTGATTGAGTTTGTGTCTTCAGATACCTCTTTACGTCTGAAGAAGGACTGGAGCGACCTTTAGAATGTACTGACTCAAAACTTCTGTTTCCAAGTTAAGTTTCCATCGTGAAATGTTTCCTTAGGTTGAAGTCCTCAGAAATTGGATGTGACCTATCCGCTTAATGTGTAATGGGTTCCCGTGCATAATTTCCTAAAAAATATTTATCTTATTAATTTATGCATACAAAAGCTGGGGTGTAGGTCAGAAGTGTGGGGGGGGGTGGCAGAGGATTCACCAGAGACAGAGTGGGGAGCAGAACAGACTGGCTGAAATACACTGCTGAGGGGAGCAGCAGGTGAGACAGTTAAGGTCCACTATGCCATGTGGGTCAGCTCCCTGGATGCAATGGCTACTGATAGCTCCATAGTGCTGAGACTTAACCCCTTGTGCCATGCATAACTTTTTAAAAATTTATTTATTTATGCATACAGAACTGGGGTACAGACCAGAGGTGCAGGGGCGGTGAGAAGATCCACCAGAGACAGAGTGGGGAGCAGAACAGGCAGACTGACCGAGTACACTGCTGAGGGGAGGAGCAGATGGGTCAGGAGAGGTCTGCCACGCCATGTGGTCACCTCCAAGGCTGGATCAAACTCATACTGAAGTGGCTATAGCTTCTTAGTGCTGTGCTTTAACCCACTGCACCATCTGGCAGGGCCCACCATGTGTAACTTTTTGACGATCTGAGAAATGAGATTGTGGCGGGGTTCCCAAGTCTTTTTGCTGTCTATATAAATTGTGTTTTTATTACAATACTTGGAGACCTCTAAATTTTGTATTTTTAAGATTCATTTACCATAGAATTAATAACCAAGGTAATTGCTAACCTGAGGGAAGGGACCCCCCCAACACCAACACCAACACCATACTTTCTTGGCAATTGTTTTACACAAGGCATTTCATTTTACTGAAAATCTTCATCATTATTCTGAGAATATAGTTCTGGACTTTTTCCACTGGGAGGGAGAAGAATTGAGTAGGCTGCTGGAGAGAAAAAAATTTCTGTCTGTCAGTAAGGTAGGCACTCTTTCACATATTTGTCTAATTGAATTCCTGAAAAGTTTCAGGGTGGATATGATCCCTATTTGATAGATGAAGTAAAAGATTTAGAGAGATTAAATAACGTATGTAGCCTCAGATGACTAGAAAAAAACAAGGTAGGAGTCAAAGTGTAACAGGGTGGTCCCTAGAAAAAGGGGAAGTTTCAGGTTCCCTGCCCCACCCAGGAGCGTGGAGCTGAGCAGAGAAAAAGAAGAGAAGCTGAGGAGAGAAAAAAAAGAAAAGAAAAGAAGGAAGCTGGAATGAGAGCCAGAAGGAGACCTGACGAAGCCACATGGAGCAGCAAGCATGTGATGAAGAAACCGTGCTTGTGCCCTGACCCTGGACTGGTTAAGGCAGATGTGGGTGAGATACCTATAGGGAGGTGACTATGGCAGTGTTTATTGTTTTGTCCCAACTTCTGTGACCGGTGAAAAGAAAGGAAGGTGGGAAGCAGAAAGGCTGAGCAAGCAGAGTTTATTGCTCCCGGACAGCAGCTGAGACAGAGCCCCTAGAGTGGGATCCGCAGCTACTGCCAGCTCAATAAGGGGGAAGGGTCTCTTATATAGATTCTAAACTCAGATTCCTAAGGGGTGACTCATCGCTGTGTCCTTGATGTGAGGCCCAGTTCGCTGTCACCTTCAGCTAGTTCCATCCAGGAGCTCAAGGTCAGTTTACTACCACTTTATCAAGCTTGGATGCAAGGCTCAATTCTTTACCGCGGCATAGACAATGTGTCTACATGTGTTTACCTTGAATGTTCTAAATATTTATTACATTTTGATACATGTATTACTTTTAATGATATTTCTGAACAAACATTTTACCCTATAACAACTAGTTCTATTATTTAATACATGAGTAGTTTATTGCCAACTTGGGGACATAAAAAAAAATTAAAAATCACTTGTGTCTTTGCTGGCTAGCGAAGTAATTTATTGAGGCACTGCGCAGTGTACTTTGACCCCATTCTAGCAACTCCACTTTGCTCAACACTAGGAAGCAAGCAAAACCGGTTAGTTCCTGATATGGACTTCCCTGTCTTGGCAGATGAATGCCATTCTTGAGTTCCCAGACCTAACTCTTTCTTACATGGGGGACCCATTATCCTTTCATTATTGTTCTCAAAGAAATTATCCTTTCTTTTAAGACGATATTTGACAGTCTTTCACAGCTATCACTTTAAATAACAACCACCCAAAAAAAGCCTATAGAAGATTTCCCAGTAGTTAGAAGGTCGTTTATCTAAGAAGAAAGCAATAACAGAGAATGACCACTTAAAAAAGAAAAGTCCGTCTGCTTCAGGAACTGAAGAACTGATAGGACAATAATGTAAAGCATGTGTTTCAATTTAATATCAATTTAATATCATGCTCAGGCTTTTCTTTAATGGTTTTATGCCAGCTAAATATCGCCTGTTAGCTCATACAAAATGATTTCTTTCTTTAAAACTTATTAGTTATTAAGGCAAACTTTTTTCTGGAAGTAATCCAAATTACACTTGTGATCCTTTCAAAATCAGAAACATTACCAAAGCCCGCACTTTTTTTTTTTATTTATCTTACAAACCCACTAGAGGTGTGGTGGGTGAGAGGTGGGTCAGCAGAACAGGCAGATCAACAGAGTACACTGCTGAGGGGAGCAACGGGTGGGTCAGAAGAGGTCTGCTGGGCCATGTGGGTCAGCTCCCTGACCAGGAATAGAACTTGTGCTGCAGTGGCTTCGGAGAGTTTCATAATGCAGTGCTTTAACCCACTGTGCCACCAGGGAGAGCCCCCAAGCCCTTACATTTTAAAAACAGAAGAAGTTTCTGGGCCTTTCTCTATTTATTATTACATATATATTAGTTAAGATATTATTTATTACAAAGCACTATTCTTTCTAAGTGCCTTTTATAAATTAATTCACTCCTTGTAACAACCCCATAGGAGATGACACCTTCTCCTAATATGTTGAGGAAAATGAAACAAGAAAAAGAAAAATCCCTAGTCATAATAAGTGTGAAGCTGCTTTCAAAGCCAAGCAGTCTAATTTCAGTGTCTGTGTTTTTAACCACTTATGCAAACTGCCTCTTTTGGGTGTTTTATTTCCCCTGGCATATGAAAATTTATTACAACTGTGTTTTTAGTTCCCTTTGTAGAAAACCAAAAGACAATGGCTACTTCGACAACCTCAGAGTAGTCTTCAGGAATGTCATCCACAATGCGTGATCTTTGCCACCAAATCCAGCAACCAGGACTTCATTATTTTCTGTAATAAAGTGTAAGTGACTATCATTGAGTATAAAGGCTGTGGGTTTTGGGGTTGTTTTTGCCATTCCTCATCATCTGGGCTCAGAGACACTTTCTAATGGCAGCATTTGGCAGTTTGACCTCAAACCCTCCTCTTCCCAGCACAATTCCCTTTGTATGGGAAGCATCTTCAAAAAGGCTGACCTTCAGGACTGTGCCCAAATGGACATTTCTGTACTGTTTATCGTGCCACTTCTGATTTCATCAGTGGCACAGAGCTTCCTGGCAGTAGGAAGACTGTAACAACAGTCTTGCTTGCACAACAGACCTGAGCAAGAGTCCCTGTGGTGCTACATTGTAGAATAAATCTCTTATCTTTCCTTCTCTCCCATTATCTCAAAAGCTGGGTACATTTAAAATCTGGCGTTGGGGCCTCATGAAATCTGGTTTGGGGGTCTCCTTGACGGCCTAGTTGTTAAGTTTCAGTACTGTTACCTCGACAGCCCACTGCATAGCCTGAGTTCAATCCCCATCAGTCAAGGAGCTACCCCCCCTATGGCACAGCAGATTTCTCCTGTCTTGCCTGCTGTTCTCCTTAGCAGTGTTTTATAGTAGGTCCACCTGTTCTGCTCCACACTCTGTCTCTGGTGAACCCTCTTAACCCATCCATATCTGGCCATCACCACAGTTCTATGCAAAAATAAAAATAAATAAAATCTTAAAGAAAAAGAAATCTGGATTTCTTTGCTGAATTATAAAGTATATTACCTATTACTTAGGAGTGCATTATCACACTATTT